ATATAATTAAAATTTATAATAAATTATATATAAATAAATTTTATGTTTGAATATATAAATCATATTTAAAATTTCTATAAATAGATATTTTAAATATATAACTTATATTTTATATTTATGATAAATAATTTATATTATAGAATAATGTTATTTTATTTATTGATAATTTATTTAAAATTTTAAAATTTAATTGATAAATAATTATGTTAAATAAAAAAAATCGAATTAGATAAGAATTTAAAAAATATATAAATGTTTTCATCATAGAAAATGTCTAAAAATGTTCTTATACAAAATAAATATTTTTATTTAGTATATAGGGGTTGATTTATATATAATTGATGAATTGATATTTAAAATAATAATAACACACTGAGAATATTGAGTTTTGATAAAAATAGAAAGAAATATGATGTGTATTTTGCACTAAATTATCATCATCAGAATTTTGATATTTTACCGATAATGTAACAATTTTTATTCTTCACAAGTTTTAGGTTTATTTATAGTCCTAATATTATGATATGTAATTTCGTTACTTGATTCATGTGATGGTACGCTGCAAGGAAAGTATTTGATTTGAACTTATCCGATATGAATAAATGAATAAACATATTATTCATTTTATTAGCTATTATTTAGAACCAATATGAAATAATAAGCTTATTAAAGCTTTTGGGTTGTATAAGTGATTAATTATATGCTCATTGAATTTTGAACTATTTTATATGAGAAATTATAAGTGCATATATTGGAATAGGAGGATCTAATGTTTGCATAAAGAGGAGAATGAAGTTCTGGAAACGAAGATGCAAACGGCAAAAGATACAAAGTTATGCATTAATTCTTAAGTAATTCCATGACATGCATGTTGAGAACAGAAGACGCTACTCGGAAAGCATGGAATCCAGACCCTTTAGCCAAAGACTCGTACTCTTTCTGCGTTCTCTCTTTTCCACCAGAGGTCTGACATAACATTAAAATATCCATTTGAAACTCACACTTGGAAGCTAGCTTTGAGTCTGGACTATCTGGAATAATGCCTTCAACCAAAATCACCTTCCCATTGTCAGGGAGGGAATCATAGCAGTTCTTCAACAATTTCAAGCACTGTTCGTCATTCCAGTCATGACATACCCACTGCATTCAAACACATATATGGAAAAATATTTGTTACCTATAACGCTAAAAATTTATTTCAATAAGTTTCACCAAAAAGCATGCAACCAAAAAAGCCTTCGGGAATAGATAGCAAAATGATTAACGAAAGATTAGCAAATTATGGAAATTTATTAAATGGCTATTAATTATATTTTGAAATCTAACTTCATAACTTGGAGCGGCTCTTGTCAATATAAAAGCTTGAAAATGGACCGGATAAGCCAATGAAGACCTTCAAATCAATAACATACCTTCATAAAAATGGCATCAGCTTTTGGAACACTCACAAACATGTCTCCTCCAATATGCTTCACACCTTCACCAAACACCCATCTTAGTTTCTATAATATCTCGTCAAAAGAAATGTGATCATAAAAGATTTAACTAATGTTTTAAAATCCAACCAATCATTAACTTCTAGGTGACATAAGTCATAAGAAAAACAATTAATTCGATTCATTTTTAAATTAGCATAAATATATATACCATACTATATATTGCCAAATTAATGATTACAGGGAATGTAAGAACGATCACTATAAACTTCTTAAGTATGAAGTAATAAAAGCACCTGTATACTCTGGAGCTTCCTTAATGACATGAGGCAAGTCAAAATTAAGGCACTTTATCATGGGATACTTAGAGGCAATCATGTTAACAATAGCTCCAATCCCACCGCCAACATCCACCAAAGATCCAACACCTTCAAAGCCATTATAGGTGTCAAGGATTTTCTCCATTGTGATGCTTGAGCAATGAGACATTCCCTTATTGAATAGCTTGTTGAATCTAGGATTTATTTCGTGGAATTCAAAGGCAGTCATTCCAAAAGCATTGTTAAATGGAAGCCCACCCTCCTCAACTGAATCTGTCAAGTGGTACCTATAAGAACACAGTCCTTTAAACTCTATACCCAACAATTCACTAATTGTATCAAAATAGTTTAGTTCTGTCATGTTAAGTAATCTAAGTAATAGGGTTAGATCATATGGATCCATAAAAAATAATTGTTAAGATAAATTATGAAATTATCTTAGTTTTATCTTGGGGGACATCCACAACAATAATGAGCCTCTGAGTAACCTTCCTAAGAGAGTTAAAATAAAGAGAAGGTGGGAAAAGGAGCAGAGAAAGAGATGTTGGATGAGATAGTGAAATACACTACCACATGTCTTGGAGAACTTTGTCCTGTTCCATGAGAAAGAAAGGAGCGAGGGAGACACCATGTTGATTGTTAACAAAGTATTTGGCTTTGGGGTGAAGAGCATAGTGCCTCTCAACCTTACCATGAGGCAGATGGTGAAGGGAGCAGGTGAGGATGTGGAAGCTAGCCAAGAGGCTGAACATGCGGTCTAACATGGCAGGTGCTTGAGGGTTCTTTATGATTGGAATCTGAGAAGCAATTTGAGAAGCAGAAAGGAAAGCTCCAGGACCAGCCTTTGCTATAGTTTCTAAGATGCCAAGCTCCAGAGTTGACTTGAGGACCATGGGAACAGCAGAGGCACATGATAGTTCCATCGCAAACAGAAAGGCTTCTTCATCAGATACTACCTCCATGCTTTGCTTCATCAATGTGCTCACTGCTGTGCAATTTTTCCTTTTAAAAACTCACACATACTCACGTGTACGGTACCGACACTTTCGGATGAGCCCAAAGTATGCGTGCAGTCCAAAGTAATCCTATACTTCTCTTATTTATTTATTTATTCATACTCCTATAATTTTTCCTTTTAAAATATCTCCTTAGCACATGGGATGTTTATAATATTTATTTGAGGAAATATTTTGATGACATATTATTTATTTTAGGTATTTTTAATCATTATTTAAAAAACTTTTTTTATTAAAATATGAGTATGTTTTATAAATATTTTTTTTTTCTTATTTTATTAATAAGAGACTTATTTGTATGTGGATAATTTTTACTAAATGAAACTCTTTTATTTCATTAAAAAAAACTCTAAAAAGAGTATTTCTAGATTCAAATTTAAAATCCGTCACATCATAACTTATTTGGTTCTAAAATGAAGATCTACGAATAGATTTTTTTATTTATTTTTATTACAGAATAAATAAATATGTAGGAGTACCAAACTAAGACGCTTTGTTCAATATTACCTTCTCTTCTTCTTTTTTAATTCACTGAAGAGGCTTAAAAGTCCAAAAATAAACTAGAAATCACGAGAAAACAATACAGCAGAATAATATGCAACTAAACTAAAATGCGACCAATTAAGAAGAGAATCAAAATAAAACATATCCTCAAAAATGGAGAATTCTAATTTTGCAAGCCCATCAGTAACTTGGTTAGCTTCCTAACTATATGATTGACTAATAAATAGTAAGGATGTTCTGTTGAACATCCCTCATTTAAAACCTTAACGACAGAATCTGATTCTATGATAATATCAACCACCAAACTTTGTTTCTCAAGAAGACATAAAATGTGTTTGTATACACGTTCGCCTAAACATGAACATACGTTCGTTTAAAAGATACCTCACACTTACTTCTCCGTTTTGTGCTTTGAAAATCGGGATTGTCCGTTTAAAGTTTCTCAAATAGAAATCCAAACATACACATAGTCCATGAAAAAAAGTAGGGGTGTGCAAAAAATCCAAATTGATCTGAACCGATC